ATGAGTCACTGATGGGCCCCATAAGGGCAAAGAGTTTGGCTGTGAAATAGAAGAACATCTATTGACTGTAACCACCTCACTGCTCTCAGATTTCACCCTGGTAATGGCAGTGCAGAGTAAACAGGCATCACTTCTCTGACAAGCCCATGATCCCATCACAGCCCTCACTCTCAAATCAGGTCGATATCAATCTGCAGATTGATGATGTCAGATTGCAGAATGGGCCTGGTGCCTTCAGACTACCACAGCAGAGTGCTGAAGGTGACACAAAGCCACCAAGGAGTGACAGCACTTCTCCTGAGGCAGTGCTGGCCAGCTTGACCTTCAAATATCATTTTCACTGCTCAAACCCACCACAGTATCCCTCAGGACAAGGCCAATGGATATTTGTATGCTCCTTCAGGAGTGCAAACATTGACTTGGCTGCTTAATGGCATGGCTCTCCCAAACATGACCAGTGCATCATCCAGCCTGTCTGGAGGATGGTAAATGACTCCAATCTCCTTTGCAGTCAAGTGCATGGGGTGTGCTCAAGGGACAAGAGGTCATGCTGGTTGCAATGGAGATATATCCAGTCTTACAACATTTCAGGACTGCAAGTAAAAAGCCACTGCTAAAATTACATGTGGAGTGATGTCAAGATTTGCTCTCTAAGAGGAATTTGTTCTTTAAACAGGAGCTCAACAGAAAATTCTGTGGATCCATGCCCAGTCAGCTGTGGAGAAGTCAAGGCAGAACCACATGTGTCCCTCCTGAGGTCCCCAAGAAAGCAGAGACACACTGCAAAGGGGCTCCAGGTCTCCTCAGGAGGCCAAGGGAGGCAGATGCTGAAATGGCTGGTAACTCCAGAGGAGCTGGACACCTCCATCCTCCAGGTCCTCCTGACAGCCCCAGTGGCTGCTACACCACATCCTAAGGTGGCACCACAGGGGCTGACTGACATCCTTCATGGAAAGAATGGTGAGGGAAGAAACTGAGCCCCAGCACACTCCATGCCTGGCATTACTAAGCCTTGACCCTAAAACACCACAAGGCTGAAGGAACCTGCAAAGTTGCTGTATCCAAACCACTTCCCAGTGGGCAAACACAAGCAAAGGAACCATCCACTTCCATAGCTAGGGAGATGACAGAGCTGGTCCTGCCTGTGCTAGTAGAAGGAACATAGCAGAGGGGAAAAGATAGTTATGGGATTGGGGAAGCCAGAAGACAGTTCAGAGAGAAAAGCTAGTGTTAAAAATGGGAGAGAGAAAGGGAAGAGCTCTAAAGATATAAAACTGAGGGGAAGAAGGAGCTAGAAGAACTTCAGCAGTTCAGATATTAGGAAAGATGTTTCCCCTGTGAGGGTGTTCAGGCACTGGAATATTGCTCAGGGAGGTGGTGGAGTCACCAGCCCTGGAGGGGTTTAAGAGGTGTCTGGATGTGGCACTGGAGGATCTGGTTTAGGTGTTACAGCAGTGACAGGTTAAGGGATGGACTCGATGATCTTAGAGATCACTTCCAACCTTGATGATTCTATGATTCTCTCTCTCCCCAAACAACCTCCCAGAGCTGCTCTGTGAGGGTCAGGAGGGTTTTCAGTCATGTTAATGTTGAGCTGCTTTAATCACATCTAGGAAGGAATCCAAGAGTCCTCCCAAGCAGCCACAACTCTGGGACAACCCAGTGAGGGGAACAGAGGCTTCCCATGGGCTTGAAAGGCAATAAAACCTGGAGCTCAGTTAGTCCCAGGAGTCCCATCTGCTGCAGGAGAGTGATGGCAACATACTGAACCCATTGAATTTCTCATTCTGTTGCTTTCTTGCCATTCCCTCCCTAAATCACTTGAGCTCATAACCATGACAGGTTGTTATTGCTTAAGCTCTTTGCATTTCCCCACTCTTTGCTGATGTATCTGAACCTGAGCTGGATGCACAGTGCCCTCATCTAGGTGAGAGGTGAATTCCCCTGAGCCAACAAACAGGTTTCCTTTCCCCAAGGACCATTTTCCCCTTTTGGTTACTTAGTTTGAACATCTGCTAATGAAGTATTTTAAAATAAAAGCAAATTTCAACTAGTAACAGCAGAAAACCACAACCACTCACTAATTAAAGCCATTTTCTAACACACAGAAACCAAGACCACCCAAAGGCAAGAGTAGAACTGATAAATCCTCGTAGAGATTTGCTTATGTCTCTTTGGCCCATCTGCAACACACAGGAAGGATGATCTTTACTTGTATCCCACAGACACACTCATTATTAGCTGATTTTTTTTCCATTTTAAAAGATAAACAAGAGTATTAGACCAGTGTTGAATTCCTGAGGAGTTCTCTGAATTACCTGGAGCCAAGAATTAAGATATACATCAAATTAAGACCTTGCATCCATTCTGGTTTGAGCTATTTTGGTTGGGTTGGATGAAAATCACATGAATATAATTCTTCCTTTCTTCCCCACCCCAATCCCAGACATCAGGAAAGATCTCCCCAGATCTTCCTTATAATGGTAACAAACATTAGGAACATCATTAGCAGGAGAAAGCTCTGGAAAGATGAAGAAGATATGGAATAAACCTCTGTCACATCAGAGACAGCTACAAGATTTGTGCTCTTCACCCGTCTCTGCTCAACCACCCACTCAGAAGAGAATTCGAGGCAATTGCTAACCTAAAGACAACTCAAAACCCAAGAGAATTAATGCAGTCAGAAGTATCTGCAGATGTGGAGGGCCAAGACTTCACAGTGGCTGTAGGAAGTAAGCTGAAATCCAACTACCTCTGGCCTTCTGCTCACCTCCACATGGCACCTTCACTGCTTTGTCATCACTGTAACCAATAACTGTGACACAAAAGGAGAAATAAAGTGAGACACTTACCCTCCTTCGAAGATCTTGATCCTGACTGGCTCCCCTCGTTTGGTTACAAGAGCCTCTTCTTCTGATTTCCCTCTTTTCTCCTCTTTCTTCTCAGCTCTAGTTAGATCTTTTCGACCTTCATTAGAAAGGAGCGAAGGCAAATGAACCTATCTCCCCAAAAGAGCAAAACAATCCATGATTACATACAAAATCACTCCAAGGCAGACACAGCCCAAAGAGCCTCAGCAAGAGGCAGAAACCTCCCACAGGTGCTGCTCCTTGGCAGCTCAGGGCAGTAGCTAGGACCCTCCTAACCAGCAGGGCCTGTACTCCTGCATTTCCAGACCTGAGGGTTATGTTATATTTACTGTGACTTCTTAGAACCCTTTAAATCACTCCTTGCATCTGGTGGCTCCATATTATCCAGCTCTTGTCAGCTGGAAAAGTGAAGGGATGAAAAGAAGTGTCTAGGCTGAGGTGACTTGAGCATGTGGTGGAGCCATGGGTCTGTGTTCCCAAATCCACTGCTCTGTCCTTGGGTAATCCTCTCTCTAATGAAAACACCTACAAAGGTCCAGAGAGGAGGCAGCTGTAGAATTCAGACACTTAAACTCAGCCTTTGGGTTTCCCCCACAGACACACACACACTCACACAGGTTTGGACTTTGGCCATCTGAAGTTGACATAAATCACTTGACAGTCAGAGCTCTCTCCTGATTTCCTTTCACTCAACCCCTGTTGCCAAGGGCACAGCACAGAGGAAGCCACAAAACCCATGGGAGAAAAAAAATCCTCAACCTCCCCAGATGTTCCCAGGGTGAAATTTGTCTTTTCACTGTTAAAGTTGCCACCTTGTTAGGGGTTTTTTGGTGTCTAAACCTTGTTTAGCCCAAGGTTTAAGTCATGCACTGACATCTCATCTACATGGTGAAGGTTAGTGCCTATAGCAGATGGAGCTAAACATTAGAGCTGCTTTGTAGGATGCAGGGAGAGCTCTCCACACCTGCAATGGGATGTTGGGATGTTGCTCCCCTACAACCTAACAGCACAAATAACAGAGGTCTCCAGAGGAAGAGGAAAGCTGATTGCCTCTCACTCAGGTCACATCTTACACAGTATCAACTGCATTACCCATATCCTCACTTTAGATATCATTTATGAGAACAGATGAAGACTTTGGAGAGATCAAAGTTATTAGAGGGATTTTGGACTCAACACAGCCAACAAACTGGCAGGAGTCAAAAGCAGAGCTGGTCACCCTTGACTCTTGCTGGCAAGAGTGGCAGCTCTCAAAGGTGATTCATCTGCACTACCTTAGCCACTGGTCTGAAGGGGAGATGAATCACCCAAGAGGAGCCTCTTTGTCTCCTGTGGATGTATGTGAAACCACAGAGTGACTAGTTCAAATGGAGACACACAGAGTTCAGTGGGACATAACCCAACATTCCAGCAGCATTGCTGGAACTCCCAAGGGATTCTCAGCAGGAGGAGGGATGGACTCACTGAAAAGCACAGGGATGGAGAGGGACTCTTGAGTAGGAACTGCAGGGACAGGACAAGGAGGAATGGGGGGAATGGAAAGAGGGAAATCGAGATGAGATCTTA